GTTTACTACATTAGTGTGCCCAACTCACTCAAGCCATTATAGGACAAATGTCTCGGATTATTTTTTGTCATTATGTTGCCTGCTCTTGATTTGCACTTGACATTCTTTGGCTTCCGCTTTTTACTTGGAAACTAGTTGGAGCGTGTATAGCCCAACGCTCCTACGCCATTGTGGAATGTCTCGGATATCTTTGTCTCTTAGACGCGTTTCTGTTTCAATTTACAATCGCCATGGGCTCAATGAAAGCCCGCCAAAAACCAAGGAACACACCCACTAAGTTTGAGGGTACCACAATCTTTTTAATTTTTGTTGGAGTAATATAGTGTACATTTTTCATAAGAATGCCTCCTAAACGAGCCTCAAAGCGCCAGGCAGCAAAAAGACCAGCCCCTGTAGTCGCTCCAAAACAACGCCGGGCAGAAAGTCGCCCTATTTCCACGGCCCTGCCGGAGAGATCAGCACAGCCACCGGAGTCCTCCTCGCAGTTAAGCCCCACTGAGCTTGGGGCAGTAATTTCACAAGCTATCTCGGGCGCGTTGCAGTCAGTCGGCATCTTCCAAGCTAATCTTGCTCCCGCCGAAAGGGATTCAGGAACGAACACCCAGCCCACGCCCCAGCCCACGCCCCGGACGAGTCAAAGTATCGTATATCTGTCACGGTTGATCACGATCACCCTAGTCTTTGCCTTGAGCACGTTAAACCCAGGTGGTGTGCGCACTACGATCGCTAAGCATCAAGGGGGTATTTGTGTCAAGATGGCGTGGAGTGAACATCTCGACTACGGAGTGAATATTCTTTAATTACGCTGTAGATATATACGATTTTGCTTCGAATCTCTTCCGGAAGCTCTTGAAAAAGAAAGTCTATCCAATTCTCAGGGAAAAAACAGTCTCATTCTGTTGAAAAGTGTATTCTGGTGTATTTTGTTCGTAATCACGTGCATCCTGTTTGCAACTGACCGAGAAAAGTCGGCACAGAAACGCTTTGTTCAATGCTTCAATCATGAAAAGCACTGGAGGTAAGACCCGCGGTTCGCCGAAAATTTTGAATTCACCCTGAAATCAGTGCAACTAGTACTAAGAGGTACTGATATGCATAGCTGTGATATACTCATAAAATACTAGGAGCTTCTTCAGAATGCCCGGCCACGGTATTTAAACACAGTGAGCTTATTTTGTTTTGTCATTCAGCATTGCAAGATGTTCACTTGCTAGCTGTAATAAGAGAATCGAAGTTGAGGGGGTCATCTTTTTAATTAAGGACTTGTTTCTCTGTGGCACCAAGTCTGCATTTCGTTTTGCTTAACATGTGTATTTATCATCACATGAAGACAAGTAAATAAAGTAGAGAGTATTTGTGTACAATGAACTTGTGTCCTCTTTATAGATAATATAATATTGAGCATCTTTATTTGCCCATATATTTTCTATTGGTATGAGTCATAGAATGTCTTATAACTGGATTGAAACTGAAAATGGCATATTTGTGATTACAAAGCTTGATGCAGTCAATAGATTTTAAAAGCTTCAGCTACTATTTGTTTAATGATTGTGTCTGTATGTACAAACACAGTTAATGAATGAGGCTGAGTATCTTATGAAGAATTATGGAGATCGAGGAGGGTGTTACGGCCTCGACGGATAACACCCTCCGAGATCTCCATAATTCTTCATATGATACGAAAGCCGAATTCAATAACTGTTTTATTATTCATTCAAAATAATTCCTAGTTTAAAAACATAGCTAAAACATGCTTACCTCCATCGATCCATCGATGTTCAGTTCATCTTCGATAGTGTACGTTTAGGTTTGTCCAGCTCCGCAAATATTCTCCAAATAGCAGATGTCACCCTTCGAGTTGTCTTCTTGCTGTTCTTGCCATTTTTTTTGCTATTTTTTCGCCTACTTCTTACTCTTGAAACGAGTGAAATGTCCGCCATTGTTTCAAGTTCACAACCAAAACAACTCAAACTCGTCCCCAGGTCTTCTCGGTTAACGGTGCCTTAACCTGCGAAAACGCTGCATTTTTGACGTCATTTCCTCGTTAAAGTCAAATTTCTCCCAAATTTGGTCATCCGTAACTGGTTATGGTGAACTAAACATGTGCTTTTAGCCAATCAGAATCGGGGAAATATTTTGAATGAATAATAATTATCACATATTTTTTATTATAAAAACTCTTCAAAATGTGAAATTCATACATGTTTACAAATCTCCTGTAATCAGGGCTGGGGCAACATAGCTTGAGACCCCTTTCCTTTCTCCTCACCCCAATTTTATAATTTAAATATGGTGTCATAGGTCTCATCATACTCACAGTCAACTCTGTTATACAGACACTGAGGGGACCGTAGAAATTGTCCATCTTAATTTAGAGAAAATCAAGAGAGAATGAGCTAAAAGAGCGAATCCCTGTGCCCCATGATAGGTTCGCGCGCGTGCTGCGAAGGTTATTTTTGTCTGTTGCTTCCGTGACCCGCGCGGTCTACTTTCAAATAAACATTTGAAGTTTGAAAGCCATTATAGTAATTAGCCCCAGGAGCCGATACTAATCGGCTCCTGTTGTTGACATGTTTTTGATCAGCACTTTCCGCTCATAATTTAGGAATCAATTTTATTTACAAAGGGATTGTAGTATTGGAGTCAAAATTTCACTTTGAGATTAAACCTTGATATTTTCTAACGGCTGGTAGCCTCATTTAAAGTAACGAATGAAAGCCAGAGGCCAGAGGTTATCACGCGCGAAACACGAAACCTTTAATAAGTGGCCGGCTTCAATTGTTTATGCAAATGTGCAAGATATTTTTTCTCTTTTTCCGGAAATATTTTTCCTTCAAAAACAGTACATTTGTTTTTAAGAATTATTCTTGAGAGTTTCAAACTGCATTACTTCTTCCTAACGTCTAATACTTGCGATGAATATTTCGCTGTGCAAACGCAAATCAGGTCAGATGCTTTAAGCTGTTAAACAGTCGCTAACCTGGATGCCAGAGAGTTTTGATGCGCGGTTTCCGGTTTCGGTCAATTCTTAATAGTGAGCGCTGTGCCCACATTTGTCTAGCGTCCCCACAAAATTCAAATGTTTGGCGGCCAGACATTCATGTTTGAACCCACTTTGAACCTATTGTCTCGTTACGTGTCCACGGTTGGATCCAAACGACGGTATCACAGCTCGCGGGTGTGCGTGGATGTCGCCGGAACAGTTGTCGTTTTTTGCAATAGGATGTTGGTTGTTTATATATTGATGTAGCGAAGACCTCAATAAGAAGTTTTCGCCGAGTCGGAACCGCTTTCTCCGGCGAACTCCCACAAGCCAGGACCGTTTTGCTCTTCGTCAGCTCCTCTGGCGAGATTATTCCACGTATAAATCTTTTGACTCGTCGACGAAAGTAATGCCAAGTTTGCACGTCATATCGCTTGCTGTGCGTGATCGGCAGTGAAATGAATTACCCGCCAAGTTTAAAATTAAATGACGCCACTCTAACCGACCAATAAGGTGGCGTCCTTAAAATAACCACGCAGTATGACACAGAACCAAGAATAGATTGAAAATAATTTTCATTGGAAGAGGGTCATGTATGGAGGATTCGCTCTCTTAGATCATTCTCTCTTGAGAAAATTTGAGGGCTTTTTTCCAGGGAACAAAGCAAGCTGTCTGTAATGATGAGCAAGGCTGTGCTCTAAGGAACATTGAAAGGAGCCCAGTTCTCTGAACCTGTAAAATCTAGGCTGCCCAGCATATGATTTGTATGAAAAGTCTGAGATTTTCTAGTCACCCAAAAGCAAAAGTTAAATGCCAGGGGCCACATGGCTCTGCTAGAGCACAGCCTTGATCAGGTGTCTGTATGAAGCGGTTGTCCGTAAAGAGGGCTTTTGGGTTACCAGTGATTGCAGAGGTGGATCCTAGTAGTACAGTAAAACTCCCTGACTTGTAGCGTTTGGTTTTCGTTGGGCTCAGAAGACGAAACCGTGTTTTGTGACACTTAGAACTTTTTTCAGCTCGACTGCCGGTCAAGGTTTTCAAAACACTAAACGGCCGGCAGTCCTATATTCTCGGTAAATTTCATAAAATGGAAAGATTCTAGCTAATCTAAACTATCATATGTCAATTAAGATAAGTCAAGCGATCCTGAAATGCTTTATAGATCTCAAGTCTAGAGTTTTCCAGAAGCAGTGGAGACTTTTCCCGCCGGTTTTCCGCGGAGGCGGTGTGAAAGGTCAAGATGTTATGACGTCAAACGTCGCCTGTCACGCCATGCTTTGGACAGAGAAAAGTAACGAACTCCAAAGACTTGAGACCAACAAAAACATGATATAGAAATCCCACAAAACCGGCTGGTTTGATCAGGATCACGACTTATGATAGTTCAGAACGGCTGATTTTTTTCAATTTGTGAAATTTGCTGAGAATATGGGACTGCCGGCCATTTAGTGTTTTGAAAACCTTGACCAGCAGTCGAGCTGAAAAAAGTTCTAAGTGTCACAAAACTTGAGACCTATAAAGCATTTCAGGATCGCTTGACTTGTCTTAATCGACATATGATAGTTTAGATTAGCTAAAATCTTTCCATTTTGTGAAATTTACTGAGAATATAGGACTGCCGGCCATTTAGTGTTTTGAAAACCTTGACCGGTTACCGGCCATATAGCCACAGCGTATTTACAACGTTATTTCTCTGCGGTGCAGACGTCTCCTATTTCCTTTTGATGCAACAAAGGAAATAGGAGACGTCTGGCCGTAGGCAAGATCGGCGCCGCCTCTCTAGCAGCTGAAAAAGGCTTATCGGATGCTCAAATTCGTCACCTTGGTCGTTGGAAATCCGACGCATTTAAACTATACATTCGTCAACCTACAGGAGTTTCTAAGGATTAGGCTCGCCTTTCAGTCAGGGGCTGGGGGCAACGCATATTTCTAGATTTTTCCTATTTTTTGATCTTAGTGACTCCGACATAGCTCAGACATGGGCTGGTTGTGTCTTGCTGCACGTAAGCTCGCCTTACAGGCAGGGGCTGGGGCAGCAATGATCTATAGATTAATCATGTTTATTTCCGGTTTTTTATTTCCGACACGGGCTGTGTTGTCTGTACCATTCAAACTTTGACATATTATAACTAGCTTCGGGGCTTCGTAGCTCGCCCGTCAGACTTGGCTGGGGCGGCAATTCTCCCATTTCAATCGGAGCAGTTGTTTAGGTACCTCTTATTTTTACTCGTAAGGTCTCCAGGAACATGTCAGAAATCGGCCTGGTGTTCCTCCTTTTTGCCTTTCGTGTTGGGATCTTGTCTTGCGTGCGTGCCCGCGGCTTTGGTTGGGGCTCTCCACAGAATGTGGCTTGTGACTATTTTTCGCCCCAACTTAATTCACTGAATCAAATAACTATCTTGTTACACTAAGCGATGATTCTCGGTTAACGTTACACTTTAGCACTTATAATTGGTTTGTAATAAACGCCACTTGAGGGGCCAAATTATTCCAAATATGTGTCTCCTTCACTCAGTGAATCCTGGCCGCGTGCACGAACGCAATTATAAATATTTCAGTCTATTGTCTATATTTTTTGTATAACTGAGCCGCTCTCGGCATAAAATTTTATTTTCTCGAATAATCATCAATGTAATTATACTAAAACAATTAGTCGCCTTCAGCGACTAATTGTTAAATAAGCCGAGTTTTATCATTTTGTGATCGTGAGAGGGATTGATCTCCTTCAATATCAACAACCGTGTTAACTTTTCTGGGTTGAAAACAGTATAATGATAGAAGCTCTTCCCAGCGTGAATTTTTTGAATACACGAGACAAGTCAAATCTGTGCGTCCTCGCAGATGTCGTCGTCGTCCTATAAAGGTCTCTACTATCGTTTAAGCAAATTTATTCAGTTAAAGTAACTCGTTGCAGTACATATTACACTGAAAAACCTGAGGCCAACTTTGCCCTCATTTTACGCTGCCCCCTCTCTTTACGGGTATATTATTTAAAGATATTTAAAGCTACACGGAAGGGAAAGAAGTCGAAAAATGAATTTACACCTGGTAATCAAACTCCAAACCTCCCGCACATGAGGCCGTGCTCATCGTCTTAATTCCTTCTTGGGTTCGCATGGAAAAACCAAGGGGATTTTAGAGTATAGTTCCAAACTGAATCTATGATGGTAAATTTTATTTTTTAGTAGCAAAAAAATGTTCTGGTGGCCGTCATTAAGAAAACACAACATTTTCTCTCCCGAGTGTGGATCTTGTTTATGTGTTCATGGTGGGAACTACTATAGCCGGGGTATAACACTGATGACCCTCTTTTTTTGGCGTGTGGATGCTTACCTCTGGTACAGATAAAGGACCCTCAAAAGCTGGAGACCAGTTGACAGCCACAATCTAAAAATAACCAAACCAAAAGGGCAGCAGTTATTATAAAAGTCATGATTCCTATCATGCGACAGTTCCTAAGTTACAGTATTTTCCACTAAAGAAATGCAAAGAACAATAATAACAGAAACGTGTTGTGTGAAGATGGTCCCAAAGAACCAGCCTGCTGGGTCTGGGTTTTTGTTAAACATCTCTTGAAATTCAACAATTCCGTTATGATGCTACTGGGCCTCAGTATAGGTAAAAAGAAGATAGCATTTCATTGTATCATCTAAACGTAAGTATTATTTTCAAAAGCAGCTTTTTTATTTCTCTTTCTCTGTCAAATTAAAATTTGCAGACATGAAAATGTGGTTGACTGGCTGGTGATTTGTTTAATCGATAAAATTCACTGGAATTCCATAGAATCACAGGCCTAAAATTCACTGGAATTCCATGGAGTCACAACTCTATGGAATTCTATGAAAATTCATGGACACTAATAATAATAATAATAATACTTATATAGCGCCGATATCAATATTGCTATTTTCATCAGCGCTTAAAAATAGAAATATTAAAAAAATGAAAATAAAATAAAGTAAAATAATAATAATAATAAGTGCATAAAGTATACATGCAAAAAGAGCATGAACCTAACAAAAAGAGTAAAACAATTATGTCAACACTAAAACTACAAAAATTACCTAGACTACTTAAATCGTAAAAAACTGCATAAAACCTACTAAAAACGAGATTAAAAAGCACATAAAATCACAAAAAAGCTTTCTGAAATAAAAATGTCTTGAGTGTCTTTTTAAAAGATGCTACTGAGCGGCTACTCGTAATTGAATAGGTCAATGAATTCCATAGTTGAGGAACAGCAGCAGCGAAAGATCGATCTCCTAACGTTGTTGTTCTCCTAAGTCTTGAATTTCACAGGGTTTAGTAGCAGTCCATCACAATCGGAGCGTAACTTGTATTTACATGCTTCTTTAAGACTAATAAGTTCCTGGAGATAAAAAGGCGCTAACCCATTGATAGCCTTATACGTTAACAATAATATCTTAACGTCAATTCGGAATTTAACCGGCAGCCAGTGCAGATTATACAGCAACGGTCTTACATGGCAGTATTTAGATTCCAGGAAAATTAACCTAGCGGCACCATTTTGGACCCTCTGTAGCTTGTTAAGCTGTTAAGCTGGCAGGCCATAGAGCAAGCTGTTACAATAGTCGACACGACTTGAGACAAATGCGTGAATGAGCGTCTCAGTGGACCGCCTAGAAAGATATTTCCTAATTCTTCTTACATTATACAAGTAACAAGAACGCTCTAAGTAGCGTTGAGTCTCGCTTGTTTGTAGATAAGATAAGAAGTGAGGAGGCGAATAGAGCGCGTTCTTTCGTCACTCGGGGGGGTAAGGGCGGGGCGCTCCGCATATAAAAGGGCTTGGGGTGCTCGTCGTCATGCTTAGGCCGGGGTGTAAATATCGGATTTTGGTCTCACTTACGGTGTTCTGGGCAAAACGGTGTTATATTTAGCCGTGAAGGTCTTGTTTAGGGTTGCATGTGAAAAAATATAAAAAGACGTGTATTGTCTGAGTTTTCAGTAACATAGTCTCTCAGGGGTCAAAAAAGCTTGGGCTACGCCCGGATCGATCTCTTGTAGGGGTTTAATTCAAAATTTCCGACGAGCATCCCCTTGCCTTTCATATGCAGAGTCGTCCTCCCCAGAGGTTCGTCATAATTCCTCAGATCACCGACAGCAAGTGAAAAAGTTGAATTATGATTTCAATCTACTGCACAGAGTCCAGAGGAGTTGCGTGTGAATAAATAAATTAATTATTTAAAGTCTCACCTCGAAAAATGTTTATACCTGTCGCTTAGCACGATTAATTAGCCCAATGGGATCTTTATGAATCTACTGTAAAGGATTTCTTTTCTTTTTACCTGATCCAGATCGACTTTGTTGTTCGCCATTTTGAAAATCAATAACCGCAAGCTATATTCTCGTTGGTGCACAGCAGGTCGTCCGAAGGGTGACGGAAGACCGTCGCCCGAAGGGCGACCGAAGCGAGAAGTGGCGAGTAAAAAAAAGGATAAGGGAGGATACTTGTACCACGTGGCTTAGTTCGTTGTGAACCGCATCTCTCGGAGACGGAAGTGAATGAGACCGGAAACGCAAAAGCAACAGACCGCTGCTAATTCGAGAATCAAAACATCAGCTGCGGAGGGAGTTTTAAAGATCTCAGAGATCTATGCGAAGGCAACAGAGTTTTAAGTGAAGTGAAGATCTTTCAAGACTGAAGACTTGTTGTGTACATGCCAACAGTCTTCGATGTCTCTAAGCAGGTTTCGCTTGTGTAACATTGTTGGAACCACCGAAGAATGGCTCAGTCGTGATGATATTACAGTTGCCTTGTACCTCCGCTCTACTCAGTATTACGTTTTATTGCAACAGTACACACGACCTGTAAATCACTAACCGTGGTATTTAAGATTTTCCAAACAAAACTAATGAGTTGGGCTTAACGTGATACAGCATTGCACAAAAACATTACATTCATGGACTAAAGAAAATCGCTTAGTTATTCAGATCCAGAAGATACTTTGGAGAAAATTGGAACCCTTATTCAGCCGTAATAAAAAGCTTCACCATCATGCTTCAAAGGAGTCTGCTACACAGCCGTTTTTAATCTCGTCACGCAACGCTCTTCCCCGCTAATAGCCACAGTAAATCGATATGTGCGTCATGATTAGGCTCGATTACCAGCCGCTGTTCGGGAAAATGAGCCCGCGCTCATCTCCCCTCTCTTCGGGGAGGATCAAAGACCGGACCCGGGAGACGGCGGAAATCGAGTCTACGTCATGATCTCTCAGTGTGAAACGTGCGGGTAAAATAACATTTACTCAGTGAAAATGTAGAACCGTCCAGAGCATAATCTACCCAGCAGACGAAAAAAACTTTATTGGAACGAGCAGCATTTTGGCATGAGGTAAAAGTCGTGTAGGTTTACCATCTCCTTTTATTGCTCTGATCTTGAACACTTTTACCTTACTACGTCATTTCCGTCATCATCTGTTGTGGTGGACAGCAAACGGAAGTGCTGTCTCGAAGCCGTAAATTTCGGTCGCCGAAAATGAATTTGAATTCCTTTTTATGCCGTTTTCCTACAGTATTTCGCAAATACATAATAATTCTAGATCAGGTTAGTCAAATCAGGCAATTTCATTGAATTTCATTTGAGTTTCAAAGATTCCAAAATCGGCCCAAGATTTGTTTCCTCGACATTTATCATCGCCTGTAGTTAATGATGTACGAAATATCAAGTTGTGTGGATTTGTAAGCGACATCACCGTATAATCCATTAATCTTTCCAAATTTTTCGTCTCAAAACATAACATTCGGACAATTGCGCGTTGTTTTTCGAAGCGTTCACTGAGATTTAGACTTGCACTCAAGGCATCTGCAATGTACATTAGTGGACCTTTCTTGTATTGTACCTCGAGGTTGTCCGACCACACCAGACCAGAAAACCAACCGAACGACTTTGAGAAAGTCTAACTGAGATTGAGAGCATCGTGTCGATTTTCATCCCCAGATTCTGCGCTACCATGACCCGGAACACGTCTTTACAAAACTATTCTTTCTGTCACGTTTAGCTGTATTTACTTTTCCGCACGTGATCGTGAAGGTCAGAACCAAATTACCATAAGATCAGAGAGAGTTTACAGTTTTACTTTTTGTTATGTCTGTTTTGCACTTACGATTTTATCGGCTTACTATGTCATAAGCATGAAACGTAACCTGTTTTAACGCAAAAGACAAAGTCTGATTTCTTACATGGAAGAAAAGCACTTAAACGTGATAAACATTGCGCGTTATTCCAGTCATACCCCAAAATAAACCACATGCTCATCACGAGACTCATTTCCATACAATGAAAGTCGTCACGATTCTTATCCCCAGTTTCCACGGTCTTCGCTAGGAACGCGGGACCTACAAACTAGGTCCCACCGAAAAAAAAAAAAACCGAACTGCATTTTAAGATTCTCGCTTTGCTAAAGCAAGCGAGACTAATAAAAGGCATTGGAACAAGTGTTATTTACATGAGAATTCATTGAAAGAGTCGAGTCTAACCATGTCCCTAAGTTCTTAACTACCCCTTTTGGTCTAATTACACAGTCTCCAATTAAAATATGATCAATATTAACTTTGGCTAGTTGTTGCTTGGTACCAATCATTAGGAATTCTGTTTTATGGTCATTGAGAAGTAGTTTATCATTGGTCATCCAATTACGTATATCATCCACACAGTGCTGTATAGCAGTGACAGCCTCAAATTGCCCTGTGCTTATGTTTGGACTGAAAGACACATACAACTGCGTGTCGTCAGCGTAGCAGTGAACCGTGGGAAGGTGCACCTTGATGACATCAAACAATTTGCTAGCATAAATCGTGAAAAGCAATGGCCCGAGGCAAGAGCCCTGCGGTACTCCGAAGTCCAAATTCGAACTCCGAGATAGATTTCCTTGCACCATAACACGCTGAGATCTACCATTAAGGTAGGAACGGAATCATTCAAGTGCCGTTCCAGATATACCAAATTTAGAGTGAAGCCGACTGAGTAAAACATTGTGAGCCACAGTATCAAATGCCGCACTAAGATCTAATAAAACCAGTAGTGTTACATGCTGTTTGTTCGTGTTCAACAGGATGTCATTTTTCACTCTCAGCAACGCTGTTTCTGTGCTATAATTCTTCCTATAAGATGACTGATTGGCAGGGTAAAGATGCATAGAGACTTCACATCTTGTTCCGTTAACATCTTAAATTTAGTGAGGTGGACGAAAGACGACTCAATGCCCTCTATGTCGGGTTTATGATAGTTTACAGCACCATGAGAATCGAGGCGACTCCTAATATTCACTATGTTCTGTACAAAAAACTTCCCGATGTCCTCGGCGAATTGAGCCCTATCAATAGTGGGAGGTAGACAGTCGGCAGATCCTCCGTGGAAGCTGTCAATGGGGTGCGAGTAAAACGAGTGTCTGTTTTAAGGTTCTGAATAAATGCGCTCTAATGTTGAATAGCATAGAAACCTCTCGCGACTCCATCCCACTTGGACCTAATTTCTAGTCACATGAAAATAAAAATAGAGTGCCATAGGAAGGCACTACATGAACCATACTGTTGGTATTGTTGGTACTGTTGATTAACTTTGTAAATATTAAACAGGTACCTATAGAGTAAAAAAACTCATTGTACCTCATTGTCTGGATTAAGAACAATATGTGGTCTTTTGTACACTAGCTTGACAGGATAATCCCTGCAACATAAAGAGGACATAAGCTTATAGTGTGTTACATTGTTTCTATAGATATTTTTAGTAGTTGTGATAAAGATGAAAATTTAAAAGTAAGAACAAATACCTTTCAAAGTGTATTTTCTCAAATGTTGCTGGTATACGCACAAGATTATTGAAGTCATCAGGAAACTGTTTTCTTAAATCTTTGGCAACCTCAAAACCATCTACAAATATGCTCGCGCCTCCTTCAACTTCTGGATCGAATCTAAGCATAGACAAACGGAATAATGTTCCGGCTTTAGCTTTACTGAATTTGACGGGGTGAATCAACACGGTGACAGAGGGTGAAACAGGACTTGCGTCCCTATGATATCAACCCCTCCATTACCCACCCAGCCCATGAAACTGAGTTGTTACACACCACTCGGGTCTACGCCCCATACTCTTCCAACGAACAGCAGTGTGGGTTCTTTTTTGCCTAGTCCCTAGGCCTCATTATTATGCGCGGCCGATGCGTTTCGGGTCACGTAGTCCGAGAAAGTTTTTGAGGCCTAGACAAACTCGGAGAAGTGAGACGTTTTGTCTCACTTGGGGCGGAGCTTTTGGAAGCTGGCGAGCTGTCAATAATTTTTCCGCGCTGATGAAAGATGTCCAGCAGCCATGGAGAGTACAGAGGATGAAGAGGTAAACCGAGCATTTTTATTCTATGCACGTTTTCATGGTTGAAAGTCTTTTGGCCTTTCTTTTTCATTTATCTCATTAAACTAATTTGAACTTTATTTCATCTCAAAAACTATTTGTAGCCTAAGCAAAACAGCGTCGCAAAAAAAATTTTTGATCAAGAATCGGAAGGTAAGCTAAAGAAATAAGTTTATATTTATTCTTGGATATAAAAAGTTATCTTTCGTTTCTCCATTTTCGCTTCCTCCTATAAATTTCTCGTTATCATTTCACTTCGAAATATTTTATGTAATTTAATTTTTGGATTTCTAAGCTTATGAAACTAATCGGACGGGCTGTTGAATTTGGTCTCTAAATTTGGTAGAATGTCAACAAACTACTGTTTCAAATCTTTTTATCAGTAAAGTAATATCATTTTAATGGTTCATTTGAAAATGAAAAGAGAAATTACTTGCACGTTATATAGAGGATATTACATGGCCGCGCGGAGATACGAAATTTCTCTTCGAGTGTTGAACAATATTTCACGAGTGAGCGAAGCGAACGAGTGAAATATTTTTCAACACGAGATTTCCGATTCAAAGTAATATTTTTGTTCTTTAATAACAGAAACCAGGTTAGCTATTTTTGTAATAGTGTCAGTAGTGCCGATCTTTAAGCGAAGGATATTCACGCGCAAAGTTATTTATAGATCATTTCAGTTGGACGTGTGAACTTTTCAAAAATGCAAAAATGCTCACGCATGCCCACTCCGAGATTGTCTAGGCGTCTCCCGGCTGTTCGTCTCGGATACGTCACCGAAATGCATTGACCGAGAGGGCCTGGAAAGACGCCGTATAAGGACTAGGCAAGGTTCTTTTACGTCCCAAAAGAATCACAACCGTGAAAGCCGAGCTGTGAGACGGATCCTACGGTTTGTCGTCCTTATCCCATCCTCGGAGACCCAGGGGCAGATAAAGGGGGCGAGGGAAAGTCTTAACGGGCGGAAAAATATATATGGAACGAAGAAAAGTAAAGAACGGCGAGAAGAGCCCCTGGGGACAATGTCTTACCAGACCAGTTCCAAACGGTCGGTTTACTTTTCTTCGTGCCACATTTTTCCGCCCGTTTAGACTTTCCCTCGCCCCCACTATCTGCCCCTGGGTCTCCGAGGATGTCCTTATCCGAGAAGACTAGAATAAGGTCTAACCATTTGTAGATGTCACAGCAAAGGCAGCCCATTCTTCTCAGTTATTTTGAGACCCTGTGTGTTGGTAGGGCCGGATTTGAACCCGCGACGACGGGCGCTTATCCAATTGAGCTAACTGGGCGGCGGTATTAAAGCACTTGTTAGAGGACGCAGTGGAACGAAGTGTCTCGATGCAATGCACCCGCCAAAGTTTCTCAAAAATGATTTAGAATTTAGCTTTATACCTTAGGCAATGAAGAAACTGAAGTCCAGGTGGAGACTCATAATACACCAGATCCATGTGCAGAGCCAATTCAACATCAGAATACGCAATATTGATTGGATTAGGAACAGTCCGCACATTAAATGTCTAAAAAAATAGTACCACTTAACGGTGAGATCATCATCCGCCACGACAACCACTCATGGAATATCGCTATTCAATGCAGTTATTAGTACTAACCACTCCATAAATGGTTTCCTGAATAGGTCCCATTCTTCTTGCAACCTGGTAGATAAAAAAGAAAATTTTAAACAATGTTCCCTTGGACATTATCTTGCATCAAAATCTATGTACTACTTTGCCTGACAGCTAACATTTGCACATTTTGCAGAGTCTTTTCGTTTTGATCGGGTGACGTGTTTAATAATTGCAGCTTAAAATTCAACTCAAAACTGGATGAATGAACTGCGTCCGGAATAGCAGCTTTTAAGACAATGTTGACTATCTAACTTCAGATATTATAGTAACTATAGCTTCACAAACCTTACGAACAGTTTCCTCGTCATCAGTTGGCACTTGTTTTACCAATGACACCCCATGATCACTTAGTTGGCAAAGCATTCTTAAATACAGCAGGAAACACATGATGGTTAAATATTAAACTGACATAACAAGATATGGGGGCCAAAAGAACGCTTTATACTTAAAATACTATCTGTCAAATAGTGTTGCAAACGTAAAACTGCCTGAACGAACGAGGTCTAGACAAGGCTTCTTGTATATTTACAGTAATTACGCTGCAGGATTTCCAGTCAATAATTAGTCAATTATTGAGAATCTCATAGATTATACATGGTTTACACATTTTAAAGAAGAAATGGTGATAGCTTTATTTCATAGAGCGCTTATATCCTGAGCTCAATATTGATCTAAGGGCTGTCAGTGAATTTTATACGGTGCTTGTATTCAACCTGTAAGTCAAACAATATATCCTTTAGGAATGGTGATTACTTAACAATAACACCCTCCGACATCTCCATAATATTTCATATGATACGAAAGCCGAATTCAATAATTGTTTTATTATTCATTCAAAATAATTCCTAGTTTAAAAACATAGCTAAAACAAGCTTACCTGCATCGATGTTAAGTTTATCTTCGATAGTTTACGTTTAGGTTTGTCCACCCCTCAAATATTCTCCAAATAGCAGATGTCGCCCTCCGAGTTGTCTTCTTGCTGTTTTTGCTATGTTTTTAACCATTATTTCGCCTAGTTCCAGCTGTAGTTCTTACTCTTGAAACGAGTGAAGTGTCTTTACAACGAAAACAACTCAATCTCGTCCCCAGGTCTTCTCGGTTAACGGTGCATTAACCTGTAGAAGGCTGCATTTTTGATGTCATTTCCTCGTTAAACGCAAAGTTCTTCCAAATTTGGTCATCAGTAACTGGTTATGGTGAATTATGCGTGTGCTTTTAGCCAATCAGAATTGGGGAAATATTTTGAATGAATAATAAAATCATTTATTGGGTCCTTGATGTACACAATAGAAGGAACTTACTTCCAGAAACCTTCCTTAGTTTCCATCATTTCACTATACTTCACCTCTGGAAGGCTGTGCTGTTAAATAGTGATTAAAACAGAAGTCTGTTGGAGTCAACATCTTTCATTGCAGCAGACATTTTGACTGTATGAATGCAGTTTTATGCCAATACATGTTGACTTATCAGGTATTGAAGTAAAGAGGTTTTGACAATTACAACTTAACAAATGTATTATTGCGAAAGTATAATTTGATAATTAGTGTATCTTTCACTCTTTTTATAAGTTTTATACATCTCTTCGTAGTAGATCAGTAATTTTTTCACCTGTTGTAAGTTTCATTGTCTGATTGTCGTCATGCGGACTAGATACCTGTCCTAAATGTGGCTGTGTCCTTCTCATTTCACTTTGTATCTTCCTTGCTGGTTCAGAGTAACAATTTTCTCTTAGCCATTTTAAGTTAAGCACTCCCTGATGATCATTTTCAAGTTCCCAAGCCAAAACGAGATTTTGCTTATTTTCTGAAAAAAATAGAATAAATTAGTAAGCTATTTTAAGACCATGAGTATTGTTCTGATCCCAAGGATTGAACTTGTGACATCCCACTCTGCAGACCGGTGCTCTAATGTATAAGTTAATCTATCTGCGGTCAAAATATTCTATTTTCTACCTATGGATATCGATAATACTTTTTAGTATATACACACTCAGTGATCTTAGTAATTCACGCAATCTGATTGGTTAGCTATCTCGGACTATGACGTTATATTCACCGCGCTAGACGATGAATATAAAGCAGAACAAAATCGCTGTCGTGAAATGGGTGTTTTGCCAAAGTTTCATAGTAAAGCCTTTTTGAAAATACACGAATATCCAAATGCTGATGACTTTCAAGGCAAGAAAAGACTTCATGGTGTTTAAACAGCGTGAGTTATTGTGAAGCGGTTTACTGTAGCTGACTTTTTGTACGCTCGAAGCTATGTTTAGCACTACAGAGGAAAACGAGGTCGCTTTGTCACTGTTTTGTGATTTCGGGATTTTCTCGCAAGACCAATTTTGCCTACAAACAGAAGTTAATTTATGGAGAAAAGAGGACGGCAAATATTTTCGAAAATTGTACGTGCCAGCAAGTTAACAAGGCAAAGAACATTGGACATAAACAACGCTCACCCTCATCGTAGCCGCTGTTGACAGCATTTGCAAGAAGCGACAAAGAAAACTTTCTCATTTACGGTGAGTTGACAGAAACAAATAAAGCTCTACTTTTCTTCTCAGAATTGGGTAGTAATTTAAATTTCGGCGTTTTCTTTTAAACCGTTGATGCTAAAGCTTACAAAACTCGATACAAAAAGATTAAAACTATCATTTGCCATGTTTGAAGATACTGTAAAGATCTAACTTTTGCGCATCCACTGTTTACGGCTTCGTGTTCACGCATGAATTCACCCTTCAATCAAACTAGTCGTTTTTAATGGTTTCCTTTCTGATTCTGTTGAGATCACTTCGTGTGAATATACTAAAACAATTATTCACCTCAGGCTCAGTAAATATTGTTGAATAATCCCCTCGACTTCGTCGCGGGGATTATTCAACAAAATTAACTTCGCCTTCGGCGAATAATTGTTAAGTATAACAATAGGAAGAAAAATCACAATCAATTTACGACTAAGATTATATTAAAAGGCCCAAGTTAATGATTTGCCTATCACAACACATTTGACAAAGAAAAGGCTGTCTATATGTCTTACTCTATAGTGATTCGTATATGTTAAGAACAGCAAGCATAATAAAGCTGAGGATCAGTTACTTAGTGGGTTATTCAGTAAACGTCTACAAAAGCCTTGCATAGTACAATGTACGGTACATAATGAAATCAACTTGTTTGTAGCCTGCGTAGCAGGCGTGTGAGACATATAACATCTACCCCGACATTTAATCTTAATAACTCACGCCCACGTACCGGAAATTGAAAAACTTGATAGTTTTATTGGGTCAGGAAGAGATGAGACATTAATGATCCTCTGACCATTACTTGATTGTTTGCACTTATCACATTGGCAACAAAGCCGCAGCCAACAACTGTGGAACCTTAAATAAGTTAATGAACAAAAGAATCAGAACGATTTTAAAAGAAATGTACATATTCAATTTTAAACATATAGTATATTAACCAGAAAAGGGAAATGACTTGTGTAGTTTTCCGAATCTACAGTTAGTTGTTACAACACGATTAACCTAGTAGCTATTTGAGAACGGAGGTGTTGAAAGTTGTAATCGTGTAAATGTATATACAGCTGTACGTATAATAATTTTTTTCTGTGAAATCGATAATCATCAATTGACTGTTTAGAATTGACCGTTGGCTGTTGGCAGTGGATCGTTTTAAGGTTTCCGCTGGAAGTTACAAAATGATGGGAGGAGGTGTAAGCCCTCCCACAAACAACCACACCCACACTGACAATGTCTCGTCCTCGTTCTATCATATTTAACTCGATTTGGTCCCCAATCCAGATCACAAAATATTCCTAGTCATAGCCCTATAGTTGCAACTCCACGGAAATTACCACCTTGTGTAAGCAACCGGGAACACTTTTCAGGGCGAACGTTTTATAATAATACACGTTTTTAGCTTGGACGTTTTGTTTCCTACCTCAGTTAACGTGATATTGTCAAAAGAATTTGCCTTTGTTGTTTCGTAAATTGTGCATACATGTGCACACGTGTATAGGACAAAATTTGAAAGAAAAGTTCTTTGCGGTACCATCACGTTGTCTGAAATGGTAAAACAAACTGAGACATACAAGCTAAAAAGGTCTATTTCCATTTTTTGGTTTAAGCCTTTTGTAAGCGACGGTTTGAAACGTGGTGTCCATCGCATGAACTACGCTACTCAGCAGACTCAGAGTATACCAAGGACTTTCAGAGACACTACATGACAACACATATCGTAACTTAAAAATTGCATTCTCTTTTCCTAAAAAATAGATGTGTCGAAATCCATGAAAGACCCCTGGTCCCTATGATTTTTTCCTCGTACCTTCTCGCATTATCAGCACTTGGTCTCTAATGCGGGAAGTTCGAAATAATGGTAAACTAAATTAGCCCATTTCTAACGTATTCATACGTGGATGTGTGTCCGTCCTTCCAATCTATCTGTAAGCAGTTTCCAGATACCAGAGGCTTGACATCTGTCACACTGTAGGTTGACTGCAAACCACGACACAGATACTTCAAAAATTCGTGCTAAAACTAATTAAATCGTTTTTTTTTTCTACAGAACTGTTTGTTAAATCATATTCTCTGCGACTTCTTTTAGTAATTCCAATGCGGGCTAAACTTCAGGTACGCGATATCTTCCATGTACGTTTGCAGGCCTGCTGCTCATGTTTTATGGCCTTATTAGCGGAGCTCCCGCGCGCGCGAAGCGCGCGCGCAGCGGAGCACCATGGGTAAGAAAATTTGGTAAACTATCCATCCCAGAAAATTTGGTTATGACGTAGCTACGCCCACCCGTACACACACTTCATTTAAGCCGATGTCAAATGTCACAATAGATCTTGCACAACTTGATTAGCCTTTCAGTTATGTAAGCCATCCGTATGAGTACGATTAGATTGACAGCTGTCAAAATCAGACATCCGCTGACAATTATCACATGACTATGTCGCGGGCTCAGATGAAAGACCAGTCGTTTTGCCCCTACATATAAGCTGTTATAATATGTCACACTTACCAATTCAACATAAAAACGAAACTACGCCGGGCAAGGCTGTCAGTTGGCTGACAGTCGTTTAAAGTTATATTGGGAAGCCAAGTTAAGGTCAATTGACAGCTGTCAAAACAGGACATGTGCAGACCAGTATCAGAAAACTAATAACGTGGGCTCAGGTTCGCTGAGGTACACGATCTGGCATTTTCTACTACAAGCCGGACGGATATGCCTTACTCACACTCGTAGTCTGTTAATTCGAATATTCGCCAATCTAATTAAGGTTAATTGACAGCTGTCAAACTAGAGTATACGCTGACCATCATCACCTGAGTGTATCGCGGGCTCATTTTCTATCCATTGAGTTCACGTAGTGTTCAAAGTTTTGCGCTGATATTTTATTTGATCACGTGCTCAATTCGAAGCCCCAGAGGTTAGAAAATCTATCCATCCTACAAACTTCGGCAATCACGTGACCTTACACCGACCACCCGACCGTCCGCGCCACAGTCATACCAATGTTTAAACTCACACTTTCTAGCTAATTTGAGAGCCTGCAACCTGATATTGTACATCCATGTTTTGATTAATTGACAGCTGTCAAAATAGTGTTTCTGCTGACCAGTATCGCCTGACCGTATTGCGGACTCGGGTATCGACCCACTGAGTTTGAGTATTTTTTTGAAGGTATCCGCTGACAAGTTGCTACTGTTCACATGATCGCAGGCTCTAGTTCAATTTTTTTAAAATGCATATGAAATAAGTCGTGTTTATGAGTCCGTTTTAAAATTTTGATTTCGAACTGACTTCGGACGCGAAAATTCAACCCGCTTTTACATGCAGGTTAGGCAATCGCTCTTGACTTTTCTCACTGTCACGCGTTGATCACGCTCTACGTCCAACTTTTATGTTCTGATTGGTCAAAATTTGACAGGTAAGTTCATGCGGAAAATTTATGCAGCGTCTGGAAACTTGCTTACTGATAGCTGGAGCTGACAGAGTTTTGTGTCATCTTGTGATGTTTTAAACTGTCGTTTTCTACTTGGTGTACAAAATGAAATACAGCTGCTAGCAAGATTGTTCTGTAATTCATGGCTGGTTTGTTTATTGCGCTTTATGTTGACAAATGCACTGGTTGTGAAAGTCATTGGAAATCCGATTTCGGATGGCATCGTTTTCAAGAATGAGCTTCCTCACTTGTCCTTGCTTGAGACGTAAGAGGGTTGAAAAGTCTCAAGCGATTCTAGAACACTTGATGACCTTCAGAAGCAGCATCTCGACTGGTAAGCCTGAGCAATTATTGTCTTTGATGTGTTTTTTTTTTTCGGTTTGCTGAAGTCGAGCGTATGGTTTATGCGGCTTAAGTTTATACACGAGCGATGATCTAACCAACAATAGTATCAGGTTTAAAAAGCCTTTAGACATTTTTTGACCGCAAATTCAAAGAAAAGGTTCCAAAGATTATTTAGTTATGATTTTGGCTATAAACAGAAAGCTCTGAGCGATTTTCTTGCCTCGAGTTCATCTTGAAAAAGAGCAAACACCGGGAAGCCGGCTTAAAACATAAACAAGTTTATGCTTACCTGACTCATGATTTTCAGAGACACTTTACTCTCAATACTTCTCTTCGTGAATGAAAATTATTGTCTCTGTACATGTTTCACCGAATTATATTTATTTTATTGATTGTTAGTAGTCCCTCCCGCAATTTTTATCGCTGCACTGGTTGTTTGCAGTCGAACATCGCATACAGGAATACTCAAAACGCCGCGCGTAAATATCACTCGCTTTTAAAGATTACACATAACAAAACCACATACACAGTTTAATAAATAAAGGGAAATAAAACCTAAACATAAAAATTTCTCTATCGTGTTGAAGCGTAAATGGTAACTCTATTAATCGCACTGCAAATTTGCCTGTCAAAAGTGAGAACCCGTCCGGCTGGCCGAAAAGGTGATTTTGGGAATTTTTTTTATCGTTTTCATGCTAAAAGCCCATAATTATTACCCTGCATATCACATAGGACCAGATTTTTCTAACGGAAAAGTCCCGCATTATGGAATTCTTTTCATGAAAACGTTTGATAATTCAATGCTATAATTTGTTTTGCAAAGGAAGCGCTTGCTTTGACGTCGTGGATATTGAATGAGTGCAAATTGTCTTACAAAATTGTGAAAAACTGCAGAATGATAGGGCAAAAAAAGAACAAATTCTGTCCAAGGTCTGTATGATAAAAAAGGGCCTCATAGTACTGTTTACCGGAGACGTGTTGAGAAAAAGTATGTTTAAAAGGCTGGTTTACACGCCACCAGAGTTACTTGTAAACTAAACTTGCATTGTCGAACACAAAAAATCCGGCCTGATTTTTTATTTTGGCCTCGCTTTTAGACAGATGAATGCAACGTGTCAATTGGCTGCCACCAAGGACTATCGTGGCTCGTGTGGTTCTTAAAATTATATTTCGGGGTTATCCAATTATCCATAGTCTCTCTAACGGAACATTGTTGGAGAGACTGGTGAATGCGACATTATGATGCAACAGCTAATGCAAATACAATACACGAATAGGTCTACTTGTTTTCCAGGCCTAATCTACTGTGATCGAACATGATTGCTATTTTTTGGTGTACAAATAAGACTATTAACGCGATGTAAAATTTGTTTCACTCTTGGACTGTCAAATTATTTTTCTCTAACATCACTTAGCCTTAATTTGCCTCAAAAGTCACATGAATGTGCCCTATCTGTGGATTACAAGTTTATTGTTTGATTTAAATTATGAATTTATTAACGGGAGCTTCGCTTTTAGCCCTGGCTAAATCTATATATTATAACAGTTTTTACTTGACAAGTTCCCTTTTGCATATAACTTAATATTAAGTGTAGTTTTAAAGGGGGTGTGTCACAGCAGTCCAGTTCATTTTGCTTAATTTTGTCAATTACTCGCCCTCAATCGCTATGGAAATTAACGTAAGCAGAGAAATTACAGGTATATGACAAAATCAGAGATCCGAGACAAACAAATATGTCTCCTGAGCATTATTTTTGAAGTTGTAAACAGCAGGGATCAACTTTGAAAAACTGTTAGGCTGAACAGTTTTCGAAAATCCTAATTTCAATCCGTTTCAATCTTCTTCAGTTTTTGCCCATCCGTGGCATCTGTTGTTTCTGTTGTGTAATTTTAACCTTCCTTTTAAGTTTTAAGCAGTTATTTTTATGTTTCTCTTAATTAACGGGCATTTTGTAATTTCCTAATTTGGCTGAATTTCGTGACACAGCTCCTTCTCGTGGACACGTATATCTAGACATGCGGTATTTCTAATTAAGTAAGTCACTTAGAGTGAGCTATTAAATTAAAAAGAAAAAGGCTACAAACTGGCTAAAACAGACACAACTAACCTGAGCTTTTCCTCGGAGAAAACAACTGAAGGATTTAATTACAGACGTTCTACTGTAAAGGACGCTTCTCAGCATGACTCCAACTCGAATTCCAACTGACCTTGTTTGAGTTTTAGAAGTTAACATAACTCTTCAATCTGCAGAGAGGTGCCTCTAGAATTAAAAATATCTTTAACTCAGAACCGTAACACAAACATTGGAAAATAGAGTGGTCCAATTGGACATCACGACAACTTTTTTGTTGTTTTTTTTCTTTGTTGTTAGATCTCCTTTCTTCACTTCATTATAATATAGTATAATTCGAGTCGAAAATTGTCGTCAAGGAATTTTTTTTCTCAAGACAAATCTTTTTCTTTACGACAAAACTTTTTTGTTCTTGTTAATGTCTGGGTTATACTCTGTGGGTGGTCTAGTGAGCTCACGCGTGACCCTTGCCAAGATACTTTCCAAAATGCGAGTTTTCCGGACCGCCAGATCTGCGGTCTTCCACAGGCCATATGACTTAAAAATGAAAAATTCCAAGATGTAGTGTGATAAAGATACAAAAGAATAAAATTACCATAGAATAAAAATTAGGGAAAAGTACGTTAACAAGGCAAGAGTTATTGTCCGCATTAGGTATGACCAGAAACTCATAAGGGGTTGAAACGTGTAACTCTCATATGTTTGCTTTATCCGATGCTCGTGATTATTCATTTTTGAAAGTACCATATTTGGAACGAGAAGAAGAGATAACTGACCAATCAAACTTCGTAAATAACGTAACGTAATTTTACTTCAGCTTCCAGCGCCCGCTTGAAAAAAATGGCCGACAAACGGGGGAAAAACTCCCGAAAGCAGAGAAAGCTTTCAAAGGTTGAAACCAGGAATCTTACCGAAACACTGAGCAGGACATTATTACCTCACCACCCGGGCCAAACATAACATTATGAAACCCATTGACGTCCTCGCAACCTCTTCAAGTTGTCACCTCAAACAACGATGCCTCGTTGACCCTCTGCATAGTAAACTTATACTGCAAATAGGCTTTTAAAATTCTTATATTAAAAGTCTAGAATAAACAGTAAAAAATACTTTCGAATAAAATTCATTAGCTGCGTATCAAAAAGGGTTCAAATTATGAACCTGACATCTTCGCAAAAAGTGATGCGTGTAATGAATGTGAGAAGCATTTAAGCTTAAATTCAGCTTGGATGTTGTAGTCACGATCGTGTTTTGAGCTAATTTTATGAATGAACAAACTCAAAACAATAGACAGAGAAGCCGTTTCTCGAAAATTTTATTCAAAATCCAAAAAGTTAATCCTTTAAAGCAATTCGGAAAACACTATCTGGATCGCGGATCCGTTCAAGCAAGTGAAATCGGCTGAGCACATGGCAAAATTCAACAAAAAATCCATCTCAAATCGGGGCACATTTTGTAATTTTTCTTTAGCGCCGAAGAGAAAAACTTATAAAACGTCTATGAAACATTTAAAAATACATAAATTCCCTTTCAAAAACGCAATTGTCTTGGCCATAGAGTGCAAAAGGTACCTGAAAATTCAGCAAAAACTTCACTGTCTTGGTTGCATTTCAAAACAGACCATGTGCTCCGTCGTGAAGAAAACAAGGTTGAATTCCTAGAAGGACGATTTCTTGATGAAAAGGTTCCCTTCCTCCACAAAAAGAAAGCTGAACATTCTTTTGAACTTTCTCTTTCCATTTTTTGTCTTTTAACGGTGTATTTTTGACCCTGAAATGCAGAACTCTTGTCTTAAAACATCGGTATGGTGCTCGCGTGGCGGCCATTTGTTTAAAATGGCTATCTGCCACTAGGTTTCCAAATATGGTAAAAGTGAATATTCACGAGCATTGAACGCGAGTTACACGTTTCAACCCCTGCCTCGTACCCAGACGTCTCTCTTTTAATGAAAATGTGCGCGCAAAGGAAGGCGGGAAGGAGACAACGGGCGAGACGTCTGGCAGATGGTTGTGCCTAAATCATACCGTTCAGAAGGACAGCCGAGGAGTACTAGGAACGAGTTTCTGATTCGGGCCGACTTCGGAAATTCTCGAAAACATCCAATATGGCGGCTCAAGCGTGGTGAAAACTGACAGCCAAAGGAGCCGTTTTATCGCCAGAGAAGCGTGATTTATGGTATTGCTGACGAAGTTTGCGTTTATTGTGAGTTTTGAAGTGTTCTTGGTCCTGTATGGTAAGCAATCCTTTCATATATGTCTTATCAATTTGTCTTGTCCCGCTGGCCGGCATTACCGAAGAAAATAGTACCGTATAAAGGGACATCCTAAATTATAGCAACATTTGTTGGCATGTACATCTCATCTAGCTTTCCTTGTTAAACTGTGTTGTAGGACTGGATTTCTGCAGGTTTCTACAAGCTTAGGATAACTCTATGGGAACCTTTTTATTCATAAACGTGGCCTTGTCCTTTTGGCCGGTATTACCGAAGAAAATAGTACCGTCCAACGGACATCCTGAGTTTTAGCAACATTTGTTAGGAGGTATATCATATCTGGGTTTTTTATTGTTAAACGGTGATTCTTTAGGCTCCCAAAAGGTCAGGGTAACTAAATAGAAGTGTTTAATTTTTTAGTAAAAAATGCCTTGTGTTTTTGGCCTGTATTATCTAAAGAAATAGTACCGCCTAGCAGGACATCCTAAACTATGTCAGCAGTTGCTTGCATGTATTACTACATGACATGCAGCTTGTTATTGTTACATTGAAGTATATACCTTGCTCTCTGAAGGCTTTTTCCTACCAGCTGGGGTCAGCTGAACAAAGATAGTTTTATTCATTCCTTGTTGTTGTAATCACCTAAGAATGTCCACCCAGGGAGACAATCTATAGGGAGTACTCAAAACTGACAGCTAGAGGTGCCGCCAGGGAAGCGTGATTTTACGGTATACTTTGCGATGTTTGAGATTCTCATGTTCTTTGAAAAATTCCTGATTGATCATATCAGCAGTCGATTATGTAAATGATATCCTTTCATTCATGTTATACAGTTAGATCTATTATTATCATAAATATTGTTGTTATTATTGTTGTCACTATTATTTATTGTTGTTATAGAATGATTGCTATTTCCTGACCTCACTATTTGTGTGTTGTTTGATTGGTCAGTATCACTCAGCAAAAAAAAGGTTGGTACAGTTGGCTGTACTCTATGGCTGGCACTATCAAAACAAATCAAAATTCTTTTTTTTTTTGTGACAACAACATTATTCTCACCCCACCCCCACCCCCTCCCCCCACCTCTCCATACTGAAATTGTGGTTCAATTTTATCCTTGGTCTAAATTTTATTTTCTTTTGTTTCAAACTCCTTATCATACATTACCATACCCAAAAACCTACCTACCTTGGCAGCAATCAACCTTGGTTGTTGATTCGGGAGACTCTCTATTTTTAACTTCCCGCGGGCCCCTCTCCCCATGCCCCAACTGTCAACAGCCCCAATAACCCCACTACCGGTCGGATAAATAAATCAAGTAAACAAGATCCTCGCGTTGCTTCGTGCTGCTCACTAGTGCTCATTAAAAAAATATTGAAAAAAGAATTGAAAAAAAATATATTAAAAACTTTGAAGAGGAAGCTAGGCTAAATAGACAGTGCATTGTAACTGTCTACCAATTTCATAACAAGAAACCGTAAAATTCCGAAAATGAGTTCCTCCGTGTATAAGCCCCTTCAAATATAAGCCCCTCAAACCGGTAACGCAAAAAAACCTCCGTTAAATCGCCTCTCCAAATATAAGCCCCCTGGGGACTTGTACTTGGAAAATTTCCTCAAATATATAGTAAAACAAAGCAAAAATGGTAGATTTATTCCCAGCTATAAGGCTAGCCCAATCGATTTTCAAACGCAAATTTCCCTCCGTAGATAAGCCCCTCCGAATATAAGCCCCTCAAAAAATAAGCCCCTCAAAAAGGGCCTTTGAAAAATATAAGCCCATGCAGGACTTATTTTCGGAATTTTACGGTATGCTTTGTTCTTCGTTCATGGACGAAATTACAGAAACCCATCAGTGACAAGTTCTGTTCAATTTCTACATTACAGATGTACCACAGCAATTAAACTCAACTGATTGTGGTGTCTTTGTCTGTATGGTAGGTTTTGCTATTTCATCACCTTTGCAATAAACATTATTTAATGGAAAGTCATTCATTATGCAATTCCATCAAAATAAATATGAACTTTTAAGTATTATCCATCAAAACAAATTTCATACATCACTACTGTTACTGATTAGTCTGCAGAGTACCTTAGCAGCCGGATAATGCCCGACTATAAGCAGGTATTAAAACAGGGGCACCCAACGTCAATTTTCGGAAAATATCTGTTCGGAAGACGATTTGAGATCTAGAATTTTCGGAACTTTTGTTGTAAAATTTCTTGCTTGCCTGCCTCTCCTAGGATTTTCGAACATCTAAAAAATGGAATAATTGCCCATTTTTAACGGATTTTCACCCTAAAAAGGTCACCCAGAATTTTCGGGAGCCTTTTTCATGGCTGAAATTTTCGAAAATGTAAGTTTTTATCCCTATAATTTTCAGATCACTAGACTTTCAGCTAGGAAATCCGAACAGATGAAAAAATTTTGGGGGGATAAAAATATGCCTACATCTACCTTTTAAATATTAAAATACGTTCAACAATGCTAGGTTTAAGTGGTTTTGAACTATATTCGCGTTGGGTGCCCCTGTTAAAAGTTCAGACGCTAGACAATTTTCAAAAATAAAAAACCACTCCTGTTTGGTTATCCTTGGATTTCAAATGTCAAACCAGAAAAAGGGTTTTGCACTTCCCCATCACTGTTATACCTGAGTACTCCCTATAGAGTGTTCCCCTGGGTGGAACATTCTTCGGTAATCACAACAACAAGGAATGAATTAAACTATCGTTGTTCAGCTATCCCCAGCTGGTAGGAAAAAGCCTTCGGAGGGCAAGGTATGTATTACAATGTAACAATGACAAGCTGCATGTCATGTAGTAATACATGCAAGCAACTGCTGACATAGTTTAGGATGTCCTGCTAGGCGGTACTATTTCCTTAGATAATACAGGCGAAAAGCACAAGGCATTTTTTACGAAAAAAAAAACACTCCTGTTTAGTTACCCTG